GCCCCCTGCCGCCGCGGCCCCGCCCGCAATTTCTGCGGCCTGGCGCGGCCGTCGCGCCGCGGGCCGCGGGCGGGAAGGACGGGCGCGGCCTCGAATGCAATGATCCAGACGCGCTGCCCGAGAGGCCGGCGCCGCTGCCCAGCTCGCGCTTCCATTGGGGTTCTACAGGCCGAAAGCGCCGCTAGTGCTTCTCTTGCTTATTGGGGTTGCTGGGGCGCCCAGGCGCGGCGGCCGCGGTGCTTGCGCCGCCGCCCGCCCGCTGGCCCCGTGGCCGCGCGCCCGTCCGCGCCCCCGTCTCTTCTGCAGCCCCAGGGGGCGGCGCCGTCTCATGGTGGTCACCGAAGGGGGTCATTTCGTTTGAGTTTTTCCAGGGCCCGTGCAAGTGGCGGCGTTGTCGCAGATAGCGGCGCCCCAAGGGCGGCGAGGTCTACGCTGGCGCACGCGGGCCCCGCTGGGCTTCCCAGGGGCCCACGGCATTGGCGATTGTTTCCAGGCCGCTGCCCGCCAGGGGCGGCGATGCGTCGCGGCGGCGCCCTGGGGGCACCCCCCGTTCGACCCCCCGAGCACGCGAAAGAAGCTATAGTTTAGCAGGTCGCAGCCCGCCACTTTGATGAGCGCGAACACTATAGAACATTATATCTCCTATTGCTTTTTATGCAATCGTATCAACATATAGCATTGAATAGTGAAAAATAATGAAAATATATTAAACAATATTGAAAAATAAAACAAAATAATGAAAATATTGAAAATAATGAAAACGCGAAATCAATAGTGAAAATAATTAAAGAAATAGTGAGCACTAATGAAAAATATTGAAACTATTGAAAAATACTAATAATACATAGTAGTAAGTAATGAAAAATGGTAACGATAACAAAACATATCCCGGCAAAGCAACCTAACAGCGATGTGTAGAAGCATATCTGAAAGCATTCCCCTTAAGATTCAGATGAAAATCCAGTTGTAGAATTCTGCTGTTCTCGCAGTCGTAGTCGCATTCGCGATGACAGTCGCAGCGGCAACGGCAGTCGCAGTCACAGCCTCAGCCTCAGCCTCAGCCTCAGCCTCAGCCTCAGCCTCAGCCTCAGCCTCAGCCTGCCTCAGCCTCAGCCTCAGCCTGCTTCAGCCTCAGCCTCAGTCTGCCTTCAGCCTCGGCCTCAGCCTCAGCCTGCCTCAGCCTCAGCCTGCATCAGCCTCAGCCTCAGCCTCAGCCTGCCTCAGCATCAGCCTGCTCAGCCTCAGCCTGCCTCAGCCTCAGCCTCAGTCTGCTTCAGCCTCAGCCTCAGTCTGCCTTCAGCCTCGGCCTCAGCCTTCAGCCTGCCTCAGCCTCAGCCTGCCTCGGCCGCAGCATCAGCTTGCGTCAGCATTCAAAATGTTGCCCAGGAATGGAGTTCTGGGAACTAGAAGAACACGAAGTGGCTTACAGTTGGCTCCGGGCATTCAAAATCATGCCCAGGAATGGAGTTCTGGGAACTTGAAGAGCACGAAGTGGCCTACAGTTGGCTCCGGGCATCCAAAATGTGGCCCGGGAGTGGAGTTCTGGGACATCGAAGAGCACGAAGTGGCCTACAGTTGGCTCCGGGCATCCAAAATGTGGCCCGGGAGTGGAGTTCTGGGAAGTCGAAGAGCACGAAGTGGCTTACAGTTACGTCCGGCCATAGCCGAACAGCGTCGAGAAAGAGGCCCCCCAGCAGGTGCTCGACTCGCGCTGCCCGTCGACCCTTTCACCAGGCCTCCCCGGGGATGGCACCATTGAGGAGCAGTGGTTCCAGTGTCATACCCGAGCCGAGTTGGCCCTTCATATTGGAGTTGAGAGCGGCTTCGCTGTTGTGGACCGCCAGGCTGAACGGGCGAAAGGATCGGAGCCAACTATGCGCCCTGTGGGCGCTGGTGCCCTGCACCGCATTGATCGGACCATCGTGCTGCGTCGGCTCCTTCGCCTTCACAGACGATTCACAGGACATGTTCGCGAAGGTAGTGGGAGATCACCATCGGATAGTCTGGGTGCTCAGCACCTTCGTCAGTATGCACGAGCAGGCCTAGATGTAATCATTGTTCCCAGAGATGATGGTCTACGTAGCTACTCGGACGCGCTGGGCACCCTCCCCGCAGGCATGTCCAAGGAGCATCATAATATCCAGAAGCTGACGCGAGAGGTTCGCGACATGGTCCACGGGCCTCTACAACCTCGCGACCCCGCTCTTCAGGGCGCCGACGCCGACGCCCACCTCTGGAGCTCAAGAGGTGGGGGAAGACTGGCACCAGCAGTGGTGCTCTCCCAATCATGCACGAGAAGCCTCTGGACATCTACAAAAGTGACGGCAACATGCTGCCAACGTGGTCTTTCCCTGTTCACAGGTTGATCGGCAGTGGCTACCGTCTCCAGAGGCCCTGGGGCATGCGATTGATCATGCGTCAGGGGCCCCAGGATTTGACGACTGGAGTTCCCGCGAGCTGAAGGTCATCGAGAAAGTATATCTTGTGTTGGTGCAAGAGCTCTACGAACTCTGGTGTCGGACCTCTCTTTCTGCCGTGGAGCACAGAGGGCGACTTCCACTAGCATTTCTGAACGAAGTTTTCCCTTGGCGCGTTGCGGGGATTCCCACGTCCGAGACAGATCTTCGACACATCAGTGTAGGGTTCTCATTGGTAAGATGCTGGCTGGGTGCGTTGGGATTCGCAATGCCGCTTCCCTGTGACAACCAGTGGAGTTGCAAGAAAGGCGCATCAGTCACTCGCGCGATCAGTCGGTGGCTGTACGACGTTGCCCAGAATGGAGCAGGAGCTGGACTTGACCTCACTCGGGCGCGCGACGGCATGGACCACGAGATTGGAGAGGCAGATTTACCCCAGCGTGCAGCGCCCGACGCGGTGGCGTGCACAGCCCTAGCTTGGACAGGGCCAGGATATTTAAGGGTTGCTTGGCATTTGACTGATCCAGTATGGCCTGATCGCGGATTGCCGCAGGGCGGCTCGATCGCTCCCGCCGCCGCGTGCGCAACCCTGTGCCCATGGCACCCAGGCAATGGCCACGCCTAAGTGGATGACCGCAGTTCGGTCAACCTATCAAGCGAGTTGGTGGCAGACGACTTGGCTGCCACGCAGGTCTTTGACACGGATTGCGGGTTCAAGGAAAACCTTGGCAAGCGACAAGTTCGGAGCCGAGATGGCAATCCTCCCAGCATCAGCGAGCACTTCGGCATCAAGTGTAGGCCGGTGGACCCCTTCTACCCCATCCTACCCCGCAGGGGGTGGGACGACGTCTTTCAGGCGATCATGGCGCTGAGCTCAATCCCTGGAGACGTGGATTTACGAGAACGCTTCGCAATTGCATACATCAGGCCGCTATGGTACTGGGCGTCGCCGCTTCTAGCACCATTGCCTGAGGAGGCCCCCCCGACTTCTTCACAGCGCAGTGATGCGTGCTTCCTCGAAGTGGCGGCGCCAAGGACGGCGGTGGGCACGACGGGTCCATTTTCACCCCGACCTGGGGGCAGCCGCGCACGCCCTGGACGCAGCGAGTCACGAGAAGATCGCGCGGAGCGACTGCGTCGAGACAGCCATCCGAGCTCATTGTGAACAGCTGGGCCTTTTTTTTCGTTCGCTACTCGGACAACTAAGGGTGTTTGCTGGAATATTCCCTCAGCGACGACCACCGCGTGGTCGCGGACCTCCGCGACTTTTGCGCGCCCAATACGACGCATTTTTGGACACGCAGACCCGCGAGTGAGAGATATCTGAACCACCTCCGCCATGCGCTTCGAACAGTGGTTCGCGTTCGATGTTTCCAGAAAGTTTCACAGCAGCGGCACGATTCAGAGGACATCGACGAGGTCGACCCGAATGTCACGTCGCACGGTTTCTACTCCAAGTGGGCTCGTCGCTTGCCTGATGCTGGGAAACAGATCCTCTGTATCTCCTTTTCAGGTGTGGTATCATCAGAAACACGTCGACAGTCAGGTAAGTCGCGCGCTGCTTGTGGTGCGCTCTGGCCGTCTTCCCGCCACACGTGGGCCGAGTGCCCAAAGTACACTCATGTTCGTTCCAACATCGCCACCAAGTACGAGCTGCAGTCCAACTACTGGACCAGTGCCCCTAGAGTGACGTCCAAGAGCGGGTGGGCGACCATCGGCCAGGGCGTGTCATTGGCAAGCAGAGCCCGAATGATGAGAGCTGGTTGCGAGCTGGCGATCACGATCTGATCGAGGGCCCCTGTTGGGCGACTTCGTCCTTTGGATGGTTAGTCTTCGAATGGAGTTGGTACTCCAGAGCTAGCGTGCACCTCTTCACCATCTTCTTCTGGCATCAATGTCGTACCTGTTGTATGTGTAGATGTGTGTTGTAGAATGTGTTAAGTGCGCGTGTTCTTTGCATGCGGGTGCGACTGCATTTTTCGCGTGTGTGCCTGCTTGTCTGATGCGTGCGCAAGTGCAGGTTAGGAGGAAGAGGAGCAGGAGGAGGAGGAGGAGGGGCGCAGGAAGGCGACGAAGACGCGGGTGCGACGCGGGTGGGAAGGAAAACAAGAACACAATTAATCATGTGGGGAAGAACTTGCAACACAGAAAGCTCCCTTACTATCACCTTCGGCCTTCCTGCAGGTGAGGTTGCGTGGGCTTCTTGGCCAGACTTTCGAGACAATGCGGTGATTCATGAGTTTTTTTTACTATCTGCCTCCCCCCTTTCCAAAAGACTCAGCAGTCGACCTTGATCTCCGACGCTGCAATACAACATGCAACAGTGCGACAGATCGTGACCGCAGCCTCAGACACAATCATTTTGCTTTGCAAGTATAGTCGGTCGATATGCGATGGTCCTGGTGCTCCAAACTTTGCGAAATCGCCAGGCGAAAAATCATGGCAACGCGGCGTGTCAGAGAAAACGAAAGTCCATCCAGCGTTTCGGAACCAGCTTTCCATCCCGAGTAGTTGTTGTTGACGGTCCCGAGGCCTGATGCAACCTCTTCGATTTGTTTCAAAACGTTGGATGTATGGTGAGAGGTTGCGGCTACGCGGTCCCCGTGCACCACCAGCAGCCGATGGACATGTGGCAGTCGGTCTACCAGCAGCCGCCGCCGCCCTACCAGCAGCAGCAGCCCCCTCCCGCCGCGGCCCTGGGCGGCGCCGGTGAACAGCCAGGCGCCCGCCTTGCGCCGCTCCCGTGCTGGTACGGTCGGCGATTGGGATCGCCGTCGGGGGCCCAGCAGGACCAATCTCAGATCACCCGCGACCAAAAGTTTTTGGTCACTGAGTTCAGTTGCGCCAAATGTTGGTCGCGACCAGAAGGGTCGAGTTTCGGTAACGAAGGGACGGCGCGTCGGGGCCCACGCGAGGGCTTCAAAGATATCGACGTCTCGCTCGTTACAGGAATCTGCGGCTGCAGGAAAAGTTTGGGTCGCGACTTGTTCGTTCAGAGCGACCTCTTCGTCTAGAGTGGCCGGTCAGGGGTGGTAAGGCTTCGCGGTGCGCACAGAGCCCCCACAGGTAGCCAGTTGGACCCAACAGCCCCCCCGAATGGTCCCAGCTGACCTAAGCAGGCCTTCCGAGTAGTCCAGGGCGGTCTCGACACTTGAGCGCCGCCTCCGGTGTGCCCCTGGAGCGGTCCGCGCCGGTATTGAGACCGAGCAAACACCTTCAAAATGGAGGTTCGACCTCTGACGCTCTGATTTTTCCCAACCTCCTGTGTTGGGTTCTCGTTATAAGTAGAGCGCTGTGGTCTCCACCTCCTCCTCCTGTCCCTCCTCTCCCCTGCTCCTTCCTGCCTCCTCCTGCGCGGCTCCTGTCTGCAATCTGCGCAACCGTCTCCACTTTCGTGGGTTCTGGGAGGTCCCGCGGAGTCGGGAGCCACGCGGACCCAGACAGGACCCGGCTGCTGCCTGGGTGGCTGCAGACTGCGCCATTGTCGCCTTTTTCGTGTGCTCCTGGGAGGTCCAGCGGGGCCGCGCAGACCCAGACGGGGACCTCGCTGCTCCCTGGGTGGCTGCGAACTGCTCCTGGGAGGTCCAGCGGAGTCGGGGTCCGCGTGGACCCAGACGGAGACCTCGCTGCTTCCTGGGTGGCTGCGAACTGCGCCATTGTCGCCCCTTTCGTGTGCTCCTGGGGGGTCCAGCGGAGTCGGGGGCCACGCGGTCCCAGACGGGACCTCGTTGCCCCCTGGGTGGCTGCGAACTGCGCCATTGTCGCCCCTTTCGTGTGCTCCTGGGAGGTCCAGCGGGGCCAGGGGGCACGCGCACAGGGAGGAGACCTCGCGGCTCGCAGCGAGGCTGCCATTTGCACAATTGTCGGTTTCTTCGTGGGCTCCTGGGAGGAACAGCTGAGATGAAGACAGCGCAGATCGTGCATATCTGGCGATCGGTTCTTTTGCATTCAGCGTTGATACCAATGACCTCGCCTCGCGTGGAGAAGGGGTTGGGTAAGCCTCGGGTAATTGTCAGCTCGGTTGTGGTTCCTCGATTTCGGCTTCTGGGGCCCCTCATCGAGTCTTGTGGCCATCGAAACGAATCCGATAAGAACAACGATCCCCAGCAAAGCAGCATAACCCCGGCAAAGGTGAAGTGGCGGGTCGAGGAGCAGAAGGTCTGCCACAGGGGACAGGGAAGAGAGGAAAGGGGTCCTGGGAAATTGCTTATGTCCTGGAGCATCTGGGGCCCTGCGCGCGCCGCAGGACCATCGACAGAACGTACCTCAGACCGTGACTTAGCGAACGTGGCAGGTTGTGAAAAAAAGCCGCCTGCAGCCGCTTTTCCCTGGCGCCCGAGGGCGACGGGGCCGGTCGCGCATAGAGGAATGCGACCAGTGGCGTGGCTGAAACCAGTTGCGCACACCAGATTTCGTGCCCCCGCTTCGTCCAGTGGCACGCTCTGATCAGAGTCCCGAGGTCGACTTCGGCCGGTGGCGACGAGGAGCCCCTCCCTCACCCGAAGCCCCAGAGGGGCAGACAGCATCCCAAAGACTTTGTTTTTCGAGCCTCGACCCTTGCTGTCCGCCCCGACAAGCCGTTCGCAGGGGCCCCCGCCACCCCGTCGGATCGGAAGTTTTCATTTTGGATGTCGGAGCTCTTTCCTGTAAGCAGGAAGCACAAAGAGGTAGGGGAATCACAGAACTGAATCCCATTCATTGCCATACATCCGTAGTGCTAGTAGTAGTAGTAGTAGTAGTAGTAGTAGTAGTAGTAGTAGTAGTAGTAGTAGTAGTAGTAGTAGTAGTAGTAGTAGTAGTAGTAGTAGTAGTAGTGGTAGTAGTAGTAGTAGTAGTAGTAGTAGTAGTAGTAGTAGTCGTAGTCGTAGTCGTCGTCGTCGTCGTCGTCGTCGTCGTCGTCGTCGTCGTCGTCGTCGTCGTCGTCGTAGTCGTAGTACTAGTAAGTACTAGTACTAGTATAGTAGTAGTAGTAGTAGTAGTAGTAGTAGTAGTAGTAGTAGTAGTAGTAGTAGTAGTAGTGGTAGTAGTGGTAGTAGTGGTGGTGGTAGTAGTAGTAGTAGTAGTAGTAGCCGTAGTAGTAGTAGTAGTCGTAGTAGTAGTAGTAGTCGTAGTCGTAGTCGTAGTCGTAGTCGTAGTCGTAGTCGTAGTCGTAGTCGTAGTCGTAGTCGATCTCGAGCGCCACATCTTTGGGCCCTCAGGACAGGCGGGCGGCAGTGGCGACCTCGGGGGAGAAGTGCAAGCGCTGCCGTCGCAGGTCTTTGCAGCCATTGCGCAAGGAGCAGGCCAGTCCGCCTGAATGATGAAACTCCGCAGGCCCACAGCATCGAATATTTTTAAGCCCTCGTGGAGGCTACGTGAGTCCATGTTAAGATCCCGAGCCTGCCACTCTCAAAGGTGCTGAACCTGTAGGTTTGCTTACGCCCCAGCTTTAGCAACGCCGCCTTGCCAGCGAGCGCCCCTCGCGCCGCGGCTCCTGTTGCTTAAGCCTCCGCTCTTCGCACGGTCATCCGTGCGCCTAGCCATTCTGGATTGCCAACTGGCTTGCCATCCTGGCCTCCTCTCGCGCCTACTTGCGCTCGTGGGCCTCGCTGGCGGTGTTGGGGTCGCCCCGCGTGCCGCCGCGACGCCGCTGGGCGCCCAGCCATTTTGGCTTGCCATCCTGGCCTCTTCTCGCGCCTACTTGCGCTAGTTGGCCTCGGTGGCGGTACTGGGGTCGCCCCGCGTGCTGCTGCGCCGCCGCTGTCGCTTCACTTTGGGCCGTAGGGACCAGCTGCCCTCGGATAAGCGCCTGCCGCTGCGTGCGCGTCAGACCCGCCTTTTCACCCAGAAGAGGCGCTTGCTACATACTGGAAATGAGGCAGCCACAAGGACGCTCTTCCCAAGGCGGTTGAGCCGTGGTGTTGTGGTGCGCGGGACCGAGTAGTAGTATAGTAGTAGTAGTAGTAGTAGTAGTAGTAGTAGTAGTAGTAGTAGTAGTAGTAGTAGTAGTAGTAGTAGTAGTAGTAGTAGTAGTAGTAGTAGTAGTAGTAGTAGTAGTAGTAGTAGTAGTAGTAGTAGTAGTAGTAGTAGTAGTAGTAGTAGTAGTAGTAGTAGTAGTAGTAGTAGTAGTAGTAGTAGTAGTAGTAGTAGTAGTAGTAGTAGTAGTAGTCGTAGTAGTAGTAGTAGTCGTAGTAGTAGTAGTAGTAGTAGTAGTAGTAGTAGTAATAGTAGCAGCCAGTAGTAGTAGTGTAGCAGTAGTAGCAGCAGCAGCAGTAGTAGTAGTAGTAGTAGTAATAGTCGTAGTCGTAGTAGTAGTAGTAGTAGTAGTAGTAGCAGCAGCCAGCAGCAGCAGCAGCAGCAGCAGTAGTAGTATTAGTAACAGTAGTAGTAGTAGTTAGTAGTAAGTAGTAGTAGTAGTAGTAGGAGTAGGAGTAGTAGTAGTAGTCGTAGTGGTAGTAGTAGTAGTAGTAGTAGTAGTAGTAGAAGTAGTAGTACTAGTAGTAGTGGTAGTAGTAGTAGTAGTAGTAGTGGTGGTGGTGGTGGTGGTGCTAGTAGTAGTCGTTGTAGCAGTAGGAGTAGGAGGAGGAGTAGGAGTAAGAGTAGGAGTAGTAGTAGCAGTAGCAGTAGTAGTAGTAGTAGTAGTAGGAGTAGTAGTAGTAGTAGTAGTCGTAGTAGTAGTAGTAGTAGTAGTAGTAATAGTATTAGTAGTAGTAAAAGTAATAGTAGTAGTGGTGTCAGTAGTAGTAGTGGTAGTAGTAGTAGTAGTAGTAGTAGTAGGAGTAGTAGTAGTAGTAGCAGTGGCAGTAGCAGTAGCAGTAGCAGTAGTAGTAGTAGTAGTAGTAGTAGTAGTAGTAGTAGTGTAATGGTAAGTAGTAAGTAGTAGGGCTAGTAGTCGTAGGAGTAGTAGTAGTATTACGACTACTACTACAACTATTATCAGTAGCCGTAGTAGTAGTAGTAGTAGTAGTAGTAGTAGTAGTAGTAGTAGTAGTCGTAGTCGTAGTCGTAGTAGTAGTAGTAGTACTACTACTACTATTACTACTACTACTACCAGTACTAGTCGTAATCATTCTCGTAGTCGTCGTCGTCGTCGTCGTCGTCGTGATAGTAGTCGTAGTAGTAGTAGTTGTAGCACCAGTAGTAGTAGTATTAGTAGTAGTAGTAGTAGCAGTAGTAGTAGTAGTAGTAGTAGTACTGCTAGCAGTAGTGGTAGTAGTAGTAGTAGTAGTAGTAGTAGTAGCAGTAGTAGTAGTAGCAGTAGTAGTAGTAGTAGTGGTAGCAGAAGTAGTAGTAGTAGTGGTGGTGGAGGTAGTAGCAGTAGTCGTAGTAGTAACAAGAGTACTAGTAGTATCAGTCGTAGTAGTAGTAGTAGTAGTAGGAGGAGTCGTAGTAGCAGTAGTAGTGGTAGTAGAAGCAGTAGTAGTGGTGGCAGTAGTAGCAGTAGTCGTAGTAGTAGTCGTTGTAGTAGTCGTACTAGTGGTAGCAGTATCAGTCGTAGTAGTAGTAGTAGTCGTAGTAGTAGTAGTCGTAGTAGTAGTAGTAGTAGTAGTAGTAGTAGTAGTAGTAGTAGTAGAAGGGGTAGTAGTAGTAGTAGTAGTAGTAGTAGTAGCAGCAGTAGTAGTAGTAGTAGTAGTGGTGGTAGCAGTACCAGTAGTAGTAGTAGTAGCAGTAGTAATAGTAGTAGTAGTAGTAGTAGTAGTAGTAGTAGTAGTAGTAGTAATTCTAATAGTAGTAGTAGTAGT